GCAGGAGGTTTCCAGCCAGGGCTGTGTATATTCTATTCAGCAAGCCAGAATTAGTTTTTGATCGAAGTATTGGCATAATGAGAATTTTATTTATTTTAAATCATGTTTCTGGCCCCCGTGGTCACTTTGCGAGTGTGTTGAATCAAGTGAAGTCTCAGGAACTGAAGCTGGCTGGACAGTGGTTCTCCCAAAGGCCACGGGGTGAGGCTTCCGTCTAGCCTAGTGCTTGCACAACTTCCTGCCCAGTGGCTGTCCTTTCCCTGCTGTCTACCTAGCCCTGATATACATGTGTTTCCTCCCTCCCTCCCTAAGGAAAGCATCTCTTCCTGCGCTGCCAGCTACAAGCTGCCTTGAAGGCCTACTTATTCAGGCAAAAGTACATATGACACACAATTGTAGGTGACCCACTTTCCCCCTGTTTGACAAACTGCAGTCAAACCCCTTCATGGTGCGAACAGTATCTCCTCAGACTCATCCAAGAATTCTGGCTCCCCCGTCACAAACTGAGCCTGATCCATGGCTTGGTGCTATGCGGGGGGGACTCCAAGTCATGTGCTGGCCATACAGTCAGGTCATGATTCTGCGGATCTTGTGTTTATGCAGCCCCAACTGCAAAACGACTCATTTTGGGAGTTTCTGCTGAGCAGTGGCAGCACAGGAAGGCAGGTGGTATGGGGGCTTATGGGTGGTATGGGGGCTTGTGGGTGACACAAGAGCTTCAGGGCCCCAGAGCCACTGTCCATCTCCTGGGTCCGATCTTCCAAACAAAGTGCAACAACTTTAACCCATCTTTGCACCCCAGGCACCAGTGGGGGTTGCTATGCCGGTGCTGCTGTGTACCAGTGCAAAGGATGCCACCAGCAGTAACTTCCACCCGCTGTTTGGTGTACTCCTTGACAGCAGCGCCCCAACCCCGGCTTCCGCAGTGGATCTGGGGAGGACTGGGCAGAGGGACACCTCTGTCTCATCCAGACCCCTTTCTGCACTGCTGACCAAGTGTTTGGATTGCTTTGTTAAACCTTAAGGGGCTGCAGAACTCCTTGCTGTTCTTACTAGGAAGTAAATTCCAATGAACTCAATGGGAATTCCAAATAGACATGCATAATACAGTGGTACCTCGAGTTACATACGCTTCAGGTTACATATGCTTCAGGTTACATACACTTCAGGTTACAGACTCCGCTAACCCAGAAATAGTACCTCAGGTTAAGAACTTTGCTTCAGGATGAGAACAGAAATCGCACAGCGGCAGTGGGAGGCCCCATTAGCTAAAGTGGTGCCGCAGGTTAAGAACAGTTTCAGGTTAAGAACGGACCTCCGGAACAAATTAAGTACGTAACCCAAGGTACCACTGTATTGGGCTTTTGGAATACCAAGCCCGAAATCCGCAACACATTGGCCTGACTGCAAACCCTGTTGCACTAAGTGGAACATACCTTCTTCTGAGTAAGGATACATAGGACCAGGCTTCCTCCAAACCAGGCCATCCTGGACCAATAACAGCAGGTCGACAAAAACGCACTAGGTGTGGGGAGAGTAATCTTCCAGTCATAGTGAGAAATAAACAATGTAAGAAGTTTCTTCTATCGCTTTTCATTTGCGATGTCCACATAGTGAGTGAGTTAGGTAGAATATCCTGGGATTTTAGTTTGTTAACTTAAAGGCTCTTATTGGAGGAGTTTGCTTGGCATTTTTGAATTCGGCTTCAAGGCAGAAAGAGATGGTTTCACAAGGATATGGTTTTGCAGGAAAAGGGTGTGCTCTGGCCAGAAGGAATGTATCTTGGAAGAAAGCAGGCATGGTGTCAGGCTCAGTTCTGTTTACCAGAAGCCAGAGAAAGAGAGAGAAAGAGATAAAGAGAATGTGAAAGAGATACTACAGTATCTCCTCCTATCAAGCAACATGTAGCTGCATCTGTAGGGCAGATATCTGCATTTCTTTAGAGACAAGTGACCTGAGAAGAACCCATTTGGTGGCACCACAGACAGAAAGCCAGACCCCCAAGGCCAGAGGGCTCAGCCTCGGATTCAAGCTGATGCATTGATCACATTTCTCCAAGCTGATATCGCAGGCTGTCTGCAGACTTAGGAAAACATCAGACTTCCATTAGAATTCCTGGGCCCCAGGCAACGAGATAGGAACATATATAGCACTGACATGCTACATGCATGCTACAGATTGAGCAATGGACACATTCCTACAGCAGGGAGCAACCTGCCACTCCTTCCTGTCTCCCCCCACCAGTTCCTAGAAGATGCTGAGACAGTTCTCCATGCACACAGTGCTACACATGTCTGACAATTCGGCTGCATCTGCTGCTACGTTATGTTACGAAACTTCAGCTAGTGCAGAATGCAGCAGCCAGGTTGCCCACCGGACCAGACGATTTGAGCATATTACAGGGAGACCTCAGGTTAAGAACTTAATTTGTTCTGGAGGTCCGTTCTTAACTTGAAACTGTTCTTAACCTGAAGCACCACTTTAGTTAATGGGGCCTCCTGCTGCCGCTGTGGAACCTTGGTTCCTGAACTTAATCCGTTCCAGGAGTCTGTTTGATTCCTGAAACAGTTCAGGAACCAAGGCGCGGCTTCTGATTGGCTGCAGCAGCCGGGCATTCGGGCGTTCGGCTTCCAAAGAATGTCGAAAACCGGAACAATTATTTCCGGTTTTCGTTTGTTCGGGAGCTAGAACGTTCAGCTCCCATGGCGTTCGGGAGCCGAGGTTCCACTGTATATACATTTCTCTGATTTTACAATCATTTTGACATTTTAAAACTTGACTTCCTTCCCCCTCTTTCTGCGGTTCCTTAAATTTAATCTATTCTGCATATCCAAATTAACTTAACTTACTCATTTATTTATCTGCTTTTAAGTTTTGGTTTATTATTGTATATGGGGGGGGGGGAATTGCTTCCTTCAAATCAACACAGGGGTGCAGAACTGCAGCAGTTTGGGCAGGGGGAGAGCATTGCCACGCTGGTGTTGCCTATAATTAACATCCAGGTACTCAAAAGGCTAAATGCACCATCCATGCACACCTTTGAGAGCTGAATCCCGAGGCATGGCAACCCTAGCGGCTCAAGCTTAAGGAAATGTTAGCAAGGAACACAGGAAGCTCTCTTATAGGAAGTCTGTCTCTTGTCCGCCTGGCTCTGTACTGTCTAGTCTGACAGGTAAACAGCTCCCTAGAGCCTCAAGGTGAGGCCATCCCTGTAACCTGCTCGCTGGATCCTTTTAACTGGAGGTGCCAACCTGAGGCCCACGGCATGCCACGCATGTGCTCTCTGCTACTCTGCTAGAGCTCTCCCTGCCTGACAAAAGACAAAAAAAGACAAAAATGGGGGACGAAACAGGAACAGCGATTTGCCAGAAACAGGGACAAGACAACTGGGACCAGCAAAACATGAAACAGTAACAAAGAAGAGAGACGGAAAAACCCGCCTGCATTCCTTTGGAAGAAACACGCACACTGGTTCTGAAACAGCAGACCCACTCAAAAGATAGATCAAGGATGAAGAAGAAGAAGAAGAAGAAGAAGAAGAAGAAGAAGAAGAAGAAGAAGAAGTGTTTTTGTTTGTTATGGGTTAGGTGCAATTGCAGTGGACTGATTGCACAGCCAGCAGGGTGGAAGAGAGCAAAAGGCAATAAATTGACTACAAGGGATGACTCGGCTTGGTTTGACCCTGATGGAGGAAATCCATGCATTGTAAACTAAGAGGTTGTTACAAAAGCTGTTCTGAGCCAGGAAAGACCTTGAATGGCAAATGGACAGGCAGGGGAGTTGAGAACCCACCTAAAGCTGGGAAGGTTGCACTTGCCTTGACAGGTGCCTGTCCCAATGTTTTGCCAAAATTGAAGTAGCTCATCACGCTTCGTTGGTATGATTTCATAGAACTGATAGCCCTTTCTTGCCCTGCATGTTAGCTGATAACTCTAATGTGTTATAGCTGAAGCCTTATGGCTAGCTCTGACTGGATGTAGAATAATAATAATAATAAATTTTATTTATATCCCGCCCTCCCCAGCCAAAGCCAGGCTCAGGGCGGCTAACAACAAACAAATAATCAAACAATCAAATAATCCAACATTCTAAAACATTTCATTATAAAAATTAATTAAAATCAAATTAATGGCAACCGTTAAGCAAAGTTCTGTGCAGGTTGCCAGAGGAGGGAGTCAGGCTGGGCCCTGACCAAAGGCCTGGTGGAACAACTCTGTCCTTCCCTCTCCACTGGCACTTGGATCTTTCCAAAGCTCTCTAGCTATGCAATGAAGAAGATTCAGCTTCAACCATCACCTTCTATAGGGGGCATTCCCTAGGGCAGGTACAGGAAGGGAGACTTGTATTGCACCCAGGCATTGCACCCATATTGCACATTTCCCCCTGGGTGCTAGACTAGATGGGCCACTGAACTGATCCAGAAGGCTCTTCTGTACTTCTTCGGATGGTAGACTGCTACAACAAAAGCCATTCTATCTCCCTGTTGTTTTCTAATCTATCATTTTGCAGTTTACCGGTACTTCTGCTGCTGCTATTGTGTGTATATACAAAGCTTTGAACAACTTGGGTCCAAGAAACCTGAGGCCTTATATCCCAGCCTGAACCCTGAGATCAACTGAAGGAGTACTGTCAGTTGTCCCCTGTGTAACTGAGGCCCAACTGGCCTCAATCAGGCCAGCTATTCAGTATCCCTGGTCCCATACTTTGGAACACTCTCCCAGCAGAGATGTGGTGGGCAGCCTCACTTTTTACTTGTAGGTGTCTCTTGAAGGCCATTTTATACCAACAAGCCTGTGCAGTTGTTTAAAATTTCCTTGAGTAGTCAGTCATTTCTATGATTGTTCTGTATTGCTTTTATTTTTTATGTTTTTTGTAATGTCCTGATATTTCATAAGAGGTTGCCGTACAAATACTATTATAAATAAATAAAATTCATGCTAAAACCTGAGCAGCAAAATCCCCAAATGAGTTTTATTGACTTATTTTTTTTATCACAGGTCAATGGATGGGCATTTTCTGCTCACGGAGAGGAGCATAAATTGCTTTCTTTTGCATTTACAAATGTTAACAGGTACTACACTTGATCATAGCCAAAAGGCCAGGAAGCATTTATGCATTTGGACTCTTCGTTGCTTCTGCAAGATCTTTTATGCTGGGAGGAAGGAGTCTGCTTCATCAGGGTTCTATGGGACTGTTGTGACTCAAAAGCCACATTGAAAACAAATAACCATGAATCATCAGGAACTGCCGCATGGCATCAAATGGCAAGATTCAGGTTCCTATAAATGCAAAAGAAACAGCCGCTGATTCTAGTACCTATACTTAAAGGACAGTTTCACACATAACAATTTTCCTGCTTGGATGTTCACAAGAATATCCATGGATACCTTTGCATGTGCAGATCACATATATGTCTATTTTATAATGTGCACAGATGCTGGGAACCCATGATTGGCATGGCAACAGGTGGCTCCCCAAGCCAAAGGCAAAAAGCAGATGAGCAATTGTCACACTTTTCTTCTGTACTTATGTAAGAAGGTAGGATTTGAGGAGCAGTTTTAAGCATGACAGGAAGCTACAGGAAGACCACTGGACATACACAGGCAGCACAACGTAGGAAACCATGGCACACTGATCTCTTACGAGGACTAGTTAGTTAAATACCTCAGTAATAAATAATAAAGCAAACAAATATCCTTTTCTCTTTCAGTCAGCCATGCCTTGTTCTGGTTCTCTGCAGCTCTAGATTTCTCGCTGCCTGAGCAAAGCTGCAAGAGCATCTGTAGGAAAAAACGAACCTCTCTGTCCTCATGGAAGACCTTCTCTATAGTACAATTGCCATGGAAGGCGACCTTTGCTTGCGAGCAGCCAACTCTCAGCAAGCATCATCAAGGCCATCATTTCTACTAAATGACTCCAGGCGGCTGCCTAGGAAGCACCTCTTTGAAAGAAGGGGAGAACTGTTTTGTTTCAACAGCAGCTGCGAGGAATCCTCATCCCTGCATCCCTCCACCAATCACATTAGTCCAGGATTGACAGTGGGTCAGCACAAAACCACAGACTTAAAAGGATGCTGTAGCAGAACCAAGCTATAAAGGAATGAGATGGGGATATAGAGGCAATCCACCCTGGAACTAGTGGCCAAAAGAAAATCTATGTACACATCGCACGGATACTGCATGGCAGGGCCTGTAACCAAAGCCACTGGGTAGTTGATGTCACCAACTGCTGTTTGGCATTTTGGTTAATGATTTCTGTGCAAGGGTGCTTCAAATGACCTTTTTCCATGAGAGTGGGATGGGGGATCGGTTGTCTAAGGAACAAGGGCCCCCCCCTCCACCCCATATTTGGCTCTTCCGGTATTTCAAGAGTCTAAGCACGCCCTCTGCTGGATATTCAGCAGACTTGCTCAGAATAGGCTTGGGAACAGGGTCAAATCACTCTTGAAAAGACACTTTTGCATCTGAAATAATTCTGAGGGACGCATATTGCTATGTTAATTGTGGGGGAATCAGTGCTGGCCTTTAACTCATTCTGTGTCAGCTCCCTTTTAACTCTGTGCCCCATACATAGTACCCCCATCACTCTGAAAACTCCTCTCAGGTATCCTCCCCGCCCCATAACACACAGAAAGACACACTCTTTCCCTCCCTATGAACCACCACAGATCTGTATGCTGTTAACTCCCTCTTCCCACTCCACCCTGTGGTTTTCTCTGCAACCCCATCTCTTACAATTCCCTCCCTCATACACAGATACCACACACTTCCAATCTCTCTTTAAAATTCCTTCCTACCTTTTCCTCCCAGCCACTTCTTGCTGAGTTCAGCAGCAAAAGAACTACTTACAAGGCTTTCACACTTTCCCTCCCCACAATTCACAAGAGGGGGAAAGCATGGGCCCAGCAGCCTTGGCGCAACAAGCAGGAAGAACTGATGTCAACTCCAGCACACACCTGGGAATCCAAGGACTGCATGAGCAATAAAGATGATTCTGGCATTCCCTCATCTCCACCTTCGCCTTTGATGGGATGCTTGAGCATTAGAAGTTCCCGCAAAGAGGAAGGAGATGGTCTGTAAACAAAAGAATACTTCGTATTCCCCCAAGAAGTTGAAGCTAGTCAAGGAGGGTTCGTCGCCCATGAGGCTTAATGTTGTGCCAGCCTGCTTTGGAGTTATTTTTTAAGGATAGAGACTTCATATTCCATTTGTTTTTCAGGGGGTGAGTATTTAAAAGGTTTTAGGGAGCTTTGCAAGCTGCGCAATACGGAGAAGCATGGGTAAATGGGCTTCTTTATATTCAGAGTAAACATGCCTTATGGATCACCGGCCACCAAGTTGTGATTATGTGAGCCCGGGGCCCATAATAACTCTTTGGGGGGGGGCATACTATTAAAGCTTCATCTTTCCTCATTCCAGGGATGGCTAATTTCTGTGTTCTCAAAGGCTTTCCCGTTCTCTAAACAATGGACCATAGGCTGGATGTGTATGTTGTCATACTACCCTGCCTCTCGTCGCTCTGTTATTAGGGAGGGGTTGGGTTTTATAATAAAGGCCAGAGAGATGTTACGCTAAAGTACAGAATCTCTTTATCTCACATAGCATTTGAAAACCATTTTCCTTATGAATGGAAGTGGGAGCAATTTTCAAAAGAGCTCATCTCAAGTGAAATTTGTTAAGATTTCCAGCTGGTCAGGTTCTTTAAAAAAACCCAAAACCTGCCTGGGTGTAATATTTGGTTTTTGTAGCACTGCGTGAGAGCTAGCCACCAGAATTGGAGGGAGGGGGAGGGTAAAAAAACCAGGCATTTGGCATGGTTGCCAGAGTTCTTGTTGGGTAAATCTAGAATGTTTAAACCAAAGGATTGTTTTTAGTTGGTTAAGCTGTTTAGTCAATACTTGCACACTACTAAGATGCCATGTTACCGAACGAAACCCTAATGCTGTGTTTCTTACGCAATCTCATGTGAGTTGGCAGCGTGCCTGGAAGAGCTGCTTGCATAGCTGCCATCCATAGGCTGCTCTGTCGAGCCAGGAAAAGTGTGTGTGTGTGTGTGTGTGTGTGTAGACAAATAAATGTGATGTTGTGGCAGAGTGCATAGTGCTTTCACACCTGCTTTGCTGCCTCCTTTGCTACTCCAAGTTCTATGCAGAAGGGGGCAATGAGATGCCCACATTTTTTAATATGGAAGTTGGCACAACCGTGGAATGGTCATAACTCAGCGGCAAAGTATCTGTCATGCATGCATAACATCCCCGGTTCAATCCTTGACAGAGGGCCTTCTCGGTAGTGGCACCTGCCCTCCCGTCAGATGTCAAGGAGATGAGTAACCATATAACCATATAAGACATAGGAACGAAGTATAGGGAAGCTTTTTAATGTGTAATGTTTTGTTATGTTTTTATATATGTTGGAAGCTGCCCAGAGTGACTGGGGCAACTCAGTCTGATGGGTGGGGTACAAATATCATCATCATCACCACCAACAACATCATCATCTCCGGTGAGAAAGTCCCGCCTGAAACTCTGGCGAGCTGCTACCAGTTGTGTGGAGAATACTAAGCTAGATTAGTATTGGATTGGTATAAGGTAGCTTTCTATATTCCTTACTGGTCAGGCTCCAGCCAAGATTACATGGTGGGCTGCCAGCTTGCCACCCCTGTTTCATACAATGTGATGAGACAATAGAGACTGGCTCTCCTGTTGTGATGCTATGTCAAGGCCACAGGTAGAGTTTGCTGCTCTACTGGTGGCAATGGACATTGTTATTGTTCTTGGTCACCCTCTAGTGGGTGTTGAAGGCCAAATTCACTCTGCCTGAACAATAGTGTCTCCCCCCACTCCCTTAATATGAGCCTGGCCAACCACTGATGTGCATGGCAGCCATTTTGGTTTGGGACTTGAAAGCCATACCCTCCAGCATTACTCTGATGAAAATAAGGACGTCCATCATCATCATCATCATGCACCCATCTGACTGGGTTGCCCCAACCACTCTGGGTGGCTTCCGACATATATAAAAACATAATAAAACATTAAACCTTAAAAAACTTCCCTATTCAAGGCTGCCTTCTGATGTTTTCTAAAGGGTGTATAGTTACCAATCTTGTTGGCTCAGGGGTCATATAACTCCATCCCCTCCAACCTTTCTCTGATGAAAATAGGGATGTCCTAAGGAAAAAAGGGACATTCCAGGATCAAATCAGGGTGGCTTCTGTTAATCCGGGACTGTCCCTGGAAAATAGGGAAGCTTGGAAGGTGTAGCATGGCTAACTACTGATGTCCCTGACAGCTATTTCAGTTTGGGACTTGGTCAGTGAGCTTAACAAGCAGAGAGCTCATAAGTTGCAGAGAAAGAGACTTAAGAGGAGACAACTCAAGTATATGTGTGAGCCAACTTTGGAATCTGATCCTTTACTTCAGGATGTGACACTCACTCCTTGTTGTGTTGGCGATGTTTAAACCTCTAGGACAAAAGCTCATGCGGAAGAGGGGCTAGGTTCAGACACAAAGGCAGAACCTCTTCAGTCCAAACTGTGCAGGTGAGGGTCACGTAGTGCCAGAGTCTGATGTGCTTGGAAATGATTGATGATCTGGTTTGGGCGGTCATAAACAACAATCATTTATTTCTTCTCTTGTTCTCAGGCCTCGAGGCTGTGCAGATAACCTCAAAACTTGAGATTCAAACTCATGTACCTGTTTGAACCTGCGCAGACAGAACCCAGAACTTTTGTTCCTTAATTAAGTGCCGAGACAAAAATGGGATGCTCAAACGAATCACCCTTTTTCTCTGTTAGGGCCTTTGGCAACACTAATTTTGTGGTTTGGGGATCTGGTGTGATACTTTTTTTTTTTTGCATGAATTTTTCAACATTGATCCTCAGAGGCAGCAGTTTGGATAGGGCCTCTCAGTGCAGGCTGAAGGCTGGAGAAGTGGCGTCTGTCTGTCTGTCTGTCTGTCTGTCTCTCTCTCTCTCTCTCTCTCTCTCTGTGTGTGTGAAGACACAACCTTACTCTGCTGAATGTGTGCTGTGGAGATTATATGGGGAAAGTGTATGGAATAGTTTCAGAGCCCTTTGTCTAACAGACACATTGACCTTTCTCTTCAGACA